GGTCGGAGTGTGTGAGTATGCAAGGAGGTTGAGTACGGTTGTAAGGCGTAATATAGTATACTTAGAGTCTGTGTAAGATAACAGAGGAGTGGCGATGCAAGGGGGTTGCGTCCGGTTGTAAGGTTGGAAACAATTGCATTACGAGGTGATAAATGAAAAAAGAACGGCTCTTTAAAGGTAAGTGTGGCTATCGAAACACGATCGCAATCCACGAGACTAATAGTAAAAGAATAAGATACTCCCAAGGGGTATCAAATAAAAAACAGCATGAAGAAATGAAAGTGAGCTTGGAAAAATATTGAACCAAACAGACTACAGAACGACGAACTTGACGGCTAGGCGAGGGTTCGACATGCCTAGATGATCCGCGATCGCAGCTCGGTACTGATTGCGCCACGTCCAGCAAAGTTCGTCAGGAATAAAGTGGAAGCCAGGTTGGGGATGTCGGTTTTCCAAGCCCCCAACCTAGGGTTATAGATCTGCTTATCAGTCGAACGGGGCAGATGCAAGAAAACCGGGTCCAGCAGCATGTCCAAGTCGCAATGTACTTCCACACAACCTTGGAGTATTGATTGCAGAACAGTTTTTCGGCGGGTCCAGCTCGAGAGTGCCTTTGCTTGTGCTCATCCCGTGATCAGCGCACAGAACAACGCCAACCCAGGATCGCTAACCTGATCGGCGGAGGAAATCGGCAAAGCGTGGGTCGACTCCTACAAGTTCTGGATATAGCGATCCTCGAGTGAGTAATGCAGATCCAGAAATCGTTCTAAATACCCAGTAGGTGAGAAGGACACGGGCGCGATCTTCACCTTCAGATGCATTTAAGGCTTTTGACGGTAAAGTGTGTCAATCTGCACCGAAGTGACTAAGCAAGGAGATCACTCCGACACAAGAGGTGTCTCTGACGTACTAGGAGGACCTGAAAAGGGGTAATGTTTTGTCCTGGCAAGATGGTGGCCGAAAAACGCCAAGTCCAGTTCGGATACGCTAATCTAGCTCCACCCAACGTGCAGACCAAGGTGAAACTTGAACAGAAGATCTCGGAACGCGACACCGATACCCAGGTATCCTTTAATCGTGGAGCACCTTGGTCTGGGAACGAATAATCGTAATCGGCTGAAGACAACAGCGTGATGCGGGAGTTCGGGATTCTTCTGTAACACTGATCGCGCCTTTTGAACTGCTAGAGGCTTCGTCAAATAAGTAGACCTTGAAAATCTTGATTTAGGGCGTAGGAGAAGCATCGATCGTGGAAGAAGGAAAACCCAATGAGGGCTAGGGGTGTCCACAACTATCAACTCTAGTGAAACGGAAGTCGGAGCCAGCAAGCTACCGGACGAAACTATACACTGGGAAGAAAAGCGCGATCGAAAGATTGCAGCTAAAGTTTCGGACTGTGCAGCTGATGGATTATCAGCATCCGAGCGGATCACAGCAGGTGCCGGTGCGCGCAGTCTACTATTCCCCTAACGACCACCAGACCCGGATGGAGCGGGATGTTGCGGCGCTGTTCTAGCCGTGGTACGCTTGGAAAGGCGGGGGGACGATGATTGCTGTCCTGCTGATTACTACTCGGAAAGAAGACGCGGTGGAGACGTCGGGCACAGACAAAGCGGAAGGTTTTGATTTCGTCCAGACTAAAGGCTACAGGGAGGTCCGAAATGAGAGGAAGCCCTTGTCTTGGCCCTTTTGTTACGCAGAGGAAGATCTGTGGCGAAAGATCTGGGGCGTTTGCCACGGGTATCCATGGACTTCGCTGATTCTTTACGCATGATGGCTTACAACGGGATGGGGCTCCCGCGACAAAATAGGAAGAAAGGGGGACGGATACGCTGCTAGCGAATGTGGTGATACTCGCATAAAGAGTATCCCGATCGCGCAATGATAGATCGCGCTCTCACTATAGAATCAAGATCTTGTTCTGTAGCCGACCCACTTGATCGTCCCGATCGTCTTGATAAAAGCGTCACCGATCGCGGTCGACTTCAAACTCAGCGAGATCGCCTTAAAACTGACCGCACTCTACCACAGTGCCGCAAGAGCATGGCGCAGACGGCCAACCTTGGTCCGGTCATGAGAAAAAAGATCCTTGTATCGGGCTTTTTTCGACTGAAACTCTATAGTCTTGCGGTTTCTTGGATGGATGCATCATGTATTCGGGCATTTTACTCATCCATGTGCTTTCGCAAGGCTGCCAACACGTGATTTGTCTTAAGCATGAATCAATCGAGTTGCCCTTAAAGCTTCAACTTCAAGTCGTCAATTTGCTGCTCCTGACACTGACTCGCGTAGAGTTCTTCTCGAAGTAAGGCGGCATCCGCGCGCGCATCTTCGAGGTCCGAGCAAACTCGATCCTAGCGAATTAAAACAAAAGAGACATATGGCGAGGCCGACTCAGCGAGGGAACAAAGCTCTTGCTCTAGCCGATCACCTCGACGGGTCTTTTCCCTCAACGCTTTCTCCAGATCGCTGTAGTGACCGACGAAGTCTTATAAGACGCGATATGCTGATAAAGACCAGCGAGCATCTCGATCGCAGTCTCTTGATCGGTTACTGGCGTAGATTTAACTCGAGCGGTAGAAAAAGGAATCGCTTTGATGACTCTTATTTCCACGTCGTCGATCGTCATCAGAGGTTACAAGGATGGCACTGAAGACATAGCCGCAGTGGTATTACTCGAAGTGCCATGCGATGTACTAACGGATTTCAATATGGAGCCAACCGGTTGAGGTAACGCGTCACTAGCGGAAGACACGTCGGGCGAGCTCTACGGGGCGTGGACGATGTGGATGACGTGGACGCCACGCTTAACAGGATAACGAAAAAATGACGACGGCACACGTGCACAAGCCAGCCAAATGTTAAGGATTTTTTGTGCATGGGGCAATTGTTGTAAAACCCATTTACATCGGGTTCTAAAGTCTAGACGATTTAGATAAGTATGAGGTAGTATTGGCTGAATCGATTGAGGGACGATAGCCAGCTTTATGGATGTCACCGTTGGGAGAACCCGACGGGCTCAACCCCATCTAATCCGCACGATCCCAGATGTAGAAAATTAAGGGACCGCGATCAGATAACCGCGATCAAGGGACCGCGATCAAAGCGTGGGCCACGTGATATAAAAGGATTGCAATTTCATTCGGCATGGAGAAGACACGTGGGGGTCAATCCTGACATACGAGGTAGGCGTGTTAATAGTTTTGAGTTTTGTTTGGCTAACATTAAGGAGAGTTCAATTTGCTTCTAAACACATACGTGTCGTTCTCCTTCCGAGTTGGATATTTTAGCCTCCCGACGTCAGAGAACTTCGACATCAATCGCATGTAGATCACTCCTGGAGGTATTTGGCCAGGCGTCAAAGAAATCTTAACACACATCAGGAGAGCGCCAACCAAAAACACGCGATCGGGTGAGGAATTTTCACCCGATCGACACCAATATCTAAAACGGTCAAGTTCAGCATCGAGTCAAGTCCACCTAGAAGAGTGCAACCCGCCCTTACCGACGGATACACAAGGTGAGGAGGAAACAAGTGCAAGCGGAATCGGAGTACCCCCTCCATTAGTCGGTTGTCTGGGTGCCAGTGGTGAGTAGGGATCGCCTCATAAATTGTGCGAAGCGCACTCCACCACGCCTTCTGGTCCTGGTATGATGGGGTTCACCAGCACTGCTCTGTCAGGCAGTGACGTCCCCCACTTTAATGACTATTTTACAATACAAGACTTTGTGGAACATATCAGAGAGAAAGAGAACGCCACTGGGACAAACGATTAATTGTTAAATGGGTGGTAAGCGAGATAAGGACCTAAAGGAATGGACAATGACGACAATTTGGATGAACAGAAGATAATATATAGCACATATCCTCTAATTTTACTACTTCATCCACAAGCATCATCTACTGAGCGCTCACGTCAGCCTCTATATTCAACTATTAGCAGTAACCTTAGCTACACGTCACGGGAGTATCCAACGGCCGCTCTTTAAATGTGGCCCCCACGTTTCCGATCCCTAATCCGGCAGCGAGGTTACATGTCCGTCAGGTTCATCAACTTTGAGTTCATCAATCCCCGAACTCGCTTCACTAAACTAATCTGAACAGAAATGCTGATGTGTGCTTCATTTTACGTCCCATGAATGTATCGATGCAGCACAGGGTTCTGCTGATAGTGGTGGATCATGGCACCTTAGCAATGACGCGTAACAGCGAATTGTTTGTACGCGGGCAAACAGAGGGTATCTGGGGATGTAGCTCAGTTATAAGGTTTTCTATAACTACGATAGTCTAGACGGAAAACTTCACAACTTAACTAGCATATTGTCGAGTGCATATGGTAAGAGACTTACCTTGTATACGAAGTATCAGGCGTGAACACCATTGATCTAGGCCGCTGTATCTGCACATCGGTCTAAAACGCATTGTCACATGGTGTTAACGGACGCAAATGCAGCAAGGAAGAAAAAGTGGGGGAAGTCACTGTGTGGCGGCACAGTGCTGGTGAACCCCAAACACCAGGACCCTAAGGCTTTACTTTTGTCCGTTACGGTGATCTAATCCGTATTCTCCGGAATGGCACCGCCATACCGTCCCACTCGATCTACACGTACTCGTGAAAGTTAGCCGTAGTGTCAGGGTCCACTTGCGCAAAAATCCGGATAAAGAGTTCATTTGCATCACTCGCACGATCATGAACAAGGCCGACCACTTGTCCCGCTCGTAAATTCTTTGTAAAAAAATGGACGCGCGCCGCTTATGTCGTGAAGATAGCCGACAATGCCAAAAAATGCTGGTGTTGGCGATCGTCCATCAAACAAGTAGTGATTGCGGTCTTTCCCGATTAAGTAAAAAACTGCCGTACGAAGAGAATCCCAAATATCGTGATAGGCGCCCACCGCATATCTCCACTTGTTGCGCACACTCATTTTCTTCGCCAAAACAATGTCTGACTATACCGGCCTCGTGTGGAGAAAGGGGACATCACTTGATTTAAGTGATTTCACAGACGTGATGCGAGATTGCAGTCGAAAAACAGATGTTGCTCTGTCTCGATTGCATTGCATCCATCTTGCACACAGTACTGGATACGCGGGTTCGAAGCGACAAGGAACCAAAATCGAGCGCGCATTGGCAAAAGACGAAACACCACGCAGAACTGCAGGTCGGCAAAGACGGGAAGCAGGATCTTGCGCAAATGCTTGCTGTGGTTGATGAACGAGTGTATCAGCTCATCGTCGGCGTGTCGAGAGTGCGTGGTCATGGGGTGCGGCTTATCTGGCACCACAGGCTACCGAATCACACTGGGTAGCGCGGTCCGCGGAATCGCAGGGAACAAAAATGTCGTTGTACCACTGGTGCATCCTAAGTAGGGAGCCACGTAAGGTAAAGAAGGTGAAGCGGGTCATACGATCGAGCGGGCATTCAGACGTTTAACAATCTGTGTCGCCTCCTTGTAAAGCACACGCAGCCACTTGATTTGAAGACCAGGGGATGTGGCTAGTAGCGTAAAGTTCATATGACGCAAAACAAGTCAGATGTGATTTGTTTCGGGTTGAGACGGCCAGGAACATCCTCCCCGCACGAAGTCGGAGAGCGACCGGATGCGGAAGACTCTGCAGATGTGTAGACGAAAGATCCGCTGGGGTTCCGGGACTATCCCAATGCAGCGGCGATTTGCCAGTCTGGTACAACTGCGAGTCGCTCTTTCGAAGTTCTATTCTGGGTACGAATGAAACTAGATTGGCTGTCGGAGTTTATATAAAACACGATCGGCTGATAATTCATGATGATGCGTGACCTTCCAGCGAATCTTGTACCACCAAATCCGCGTCGCTTGCCACCACTGTGCAGCCGGTCGCCATTTCATCATCTCACCGTGTCTTTATGGGGAGATGGTGAGGAAGTCGAGTGCGTGGCGATTACCAGTGCGAGGAAGGATAAACTTGAGGAGATCAGACCCCGAGGTGGTCCAACCACGTTCATTTGTCGCAGTATCAGCACTTATGAACGGCAGCAGTAAATGGAGACGCTGACGTTTGAGCAATGCCTCGAGGTTTGAGATGCCTATACCTCCTTCGCTTCGGCTCAAGTTTAAGAACTCCCGTGAAATGATCCGCACGGAGGAAGTGTTACGGTCATGTTTACGACTCAAAATACATCCGTTCAACATCCACTGCCATCTCTTCACCACTGCTGCGGAGATTGACACATGTTGTGTATAGTGCCATAGTCGAGAGAGAACCATCGTTTGTGTGATTAAAATCCTTCCACGAAGCGTTCGTGCACGCCGGTACCAAGCCTTAAACCCATCGTTAAGGCGCTGCTCAAGGAACTCCACAGTTGCGTCATTGACACACGACTGTCTGACCGCAATTTTGAGATACTTCACCGACTCTATGCGACCATGCGCTCTCACTCCTGGAAGTATCGGGCAGTCGTGGTTCCGATTAAGCGCCAGCAATACAGACTTTGATAAATTAAGCTTTGTGCTAGATCCTCGGCAGTAATCATCCACAAGATCATGCTGTGCCTGTATATTCGTGATTGCGCTGCCTAGAAGTGTCGATTCATTTGCAAAGAACGTGCTTGGCTGGTGTGATCCGCGCTCACACAAACGCCATAGTCTTCATAATACTGAAGCAAATTTTCAAGTGGTTCAATCGTCAAGACAAAGAGCAGCGCAGCAGTGGGTCCCCCTGCTTGACGCCCCTTTTTAGAAAAAGCGCCGTCTGGATGTTCTGGTTGATTACTAGATGAGCTTATTGGATGTATTATAATAGGTATGTCCACTGGAGAAGCTTTATGCCGAGTCCCATTCGCTCGATATGTCGAAACATGTAGGTCCAGTTGCCCGGTCGAATGCCTTTAAAAATCCAAAAAAAGCGTAGGCGTCGTCATCCATTGCCGTCACAAGATTTTGTCGATCCGCAAGGAACCGAACATGGTGGTAAATTGAACGGCACTTGAAGAACCCCTTTTAATCAGGATAAATCAGGTCAATAATGATGTGCTTCAGCCGGTACGTGAGTACTTTTGGAAGTACCTTTACATCGACCGACACGTGTGAAATGGGTCGGTAGTTGCCAGGCGCAGCACGGAAACATTTCTTGTGCAGTAAGACTACCGCGGATTTGCGCTTCGACGGAAGCAGTGTACCGTGTAGCAGGCTTTTGTTACAGCAAGGCTCAAGCACTCGCCGAACACATCCGGAGCCACCCAATAGAACTTAGCCGTCTTCCAATTTATTACCGGCGCTGATGCGGACTTCATGTAGCAGATCGCTGCTGCCAAGTCCGTAAGTGTGACCGGAGCATTGGGAATGGCATGATCAACATTGTAAACAACGCGGGTTATCGAATTCAGCTGCTTTTGCTGCATCAGATCGTCAGTAGGAGAGGCTCTACTGGTCGGGCTACATAGGTCTCCAATCACAGACCCCCAATGCTCAAAAAAAAGGTGAGAGATATTGAGCGGTTTCGTGGAGACAACGCCACCGGTTGTTTCCACTTCCTCAATGGAGACTCGCCGCAAGGCTATGTCGACCGGACGGAAGAAGTGTCGAGGTGACTTCTTAGAGGCGTCCATTTGGAAGCCAAACGAACGTATCTTGATTGTGTCGGCGCTCCCAAGTTACGATACTCTTGTAGTTTCGCATAGCTTCATAAGAGAGCTCGCGGTCAGAGACGGCTGCGGACGCACGGTATATGAACGCGGCCCGGTCAAGCTGACTTCGAGCCTCTAGTACTGCTTGCGTGTTTTGCTGCCGGAGCTTCTTTTAGACATCTTGTAGCTGAAGCTTAATGCTGACCTTCCATTTCTCCCAACCCTTTCCCGGGTTCGTAGCAATACGCAACTGCTCAAGTACCATGTCAGCCTCGCGCTCTCTTTCCTGTACAGCAACTGGATACTGCATTAAATAAAGCGGGAACTTCCAGTAGCCTTGGCCGTGTATCTGCTATCCTTATCTCAATAGCAAACGTTGGGCGAGATGTTCGCTTGCATTCTTAGGAAGTAAGTACTTATAGTCACTGTAGAAGCGCGTGCAGAAGTCGCCGATTAAAAGATGTAGTCCAGTCAACTCTTCCGAGGGATGGGACCAGTGAAGACGCGCTTGGTGTCGTGGTGGATCCACCAGGCGTCGACAACCCCATGATGTGACATCCACTCGAGGCAGCTTGACCGGCCAGAGTCATAACGTCTATCGGGGGAGAAAGAGTAGAGACTAGGATCGAGCGGCATGTTTAGGTCTCCCCAGCACCAAGTGTGTCGCGCGGTCCTCAAACTCCGCCGAGTCTAAACGTGAAAAGAATTGACGCTTCTCTTGTCAATTGATGCTTCTCTGGGCGTACACGTTGTGGATGTAATTAGGAGTGTTCTCGACCTTTAATTCAGCGACGAGATAGCGACCCGGGACAGCGACTGAGGGAACTGTCATAGCTGTATCGAAGTCCGATCGGAGCATTGTGAGCACTCCATTACTCGGACCACGCGTGGGTCGATGCAACAGAGAGTTGGGGTCGTACACGAATAACTCGTTCGTGAAGCATGAATCCAGGTGGAACTTGAAGCTGGAAAGATGTGTACTACAACCGAACTTGGTTTCTTGTACACATGCCAAAAAGTACTTGGATAGCATGCTCTCGATAAAGAGGTGTCCGATATTCTTGATGTCATTCGTGTTCACAGTAAGAACACTCACGTTGCTCCATAAGGCGTTGGAATTGGCGAAAACTATTGCAGCTAGTGGCAAGGCCGCTCGCGACCATCACCACGTCACCGTCTACAGCCCAGGGATGGAGAACCGACCAATCATCCGTGTAACGGGGCACCCTGAAGCTTGTACTGATGACAGTACAAGCTACTTATTCTGATGACAGAATAAGGCGGTGCCTCGTAACTTCACGTACACTCGTACGTGCAGAGGAAGACGGTAAGAAGAAGCGAGTACTTGGTTAAAGTAAAAGTAGAACTGTATTTATAATAGTTAATGTCTGCAATAAATCACTATTTATCTTCATCTAACTATGTCTAAATACAAATGTGTAAATCAACTATCTGCTCACCACTCATTGCGTGCGTCTGTCGTGGCGCGTCTTCGTTGGTTGATATAATGGCATATATCAACCAATTAGGAACTACTCGTAAGTGCTACAGAATATTTGTCCTTATGACAATATTCTGAGAATATAACTCTTATAGTTATATTCTATTAACAATTTCTTATAAATTGTTATGTAACGATTCACCCCGTTACATCACCCCCCCCTTAACCATCAGTCACTTTAGTGACTGATTGACTAAATGGATACTCGTCCCAAATCATTTGGGACAGGGTTTGCACTTGTTGGTCCGAGTCCACTTCCCAATATTCCATCGCATGGTTAACAAGCCCATGCGATGCGCGAGCAAGGCCGCCGAGAGCGCGTCCGCACGTCTCTGTGCGGACGCCGAAGCAGAAACCACAGCAACTGATGTCTCATCGGTTGCTGAAGCGACCCAGCCTGTGTCACTTGGTGATGCAGGCGCTGGTCATGAAGACACTCATGTCTTCACAGAGTACGAGCTCGGTGTCTCGTACTCTCCTGATACGGAAGACGGATCCGTATCGACGGCGATCGAATCCAAGCCGCCTGCCAAGCGTGTCATGGACGATGCTTTCCGTCGCAGCATCTTTGGTTCATCTGATGAATCAGATGAACCATCGCCGAAGCAAAGGCGCTCGAGGTCGCGAGACTCGGGCGCTAACAGTGGTGTCGGTTCTCCTATGGACACCACTTCACAGCGAGGTGCCAGTACTTCTGTCGGCACGTCGCAGGAAGAGCGGGACCGCAATGTGTTGCGTCTCGCTCCCGAGAAGAAGGCATGGATGCCTCCAAAATCCGTCATGGATCACTTGTCGGCGACGACGAGTGATCGTTATCGAACACGGTTGTTCGATTCGTCAAGGATCCATCACCTTGACCCCAGTGCGAAAAACTATCGCGCTGAACATGAATTCTTCATCGATGCTTTCTTCAAACATCGATGGTACAGTGGGAATCACAAACGTGATGGTCCCTCACTGCTTCAAGCGTGGAACGCCTACATCCATAACCTCGAGGATGTAGGTCGTGACGCTTGGAACGACAAACTAATCAAAGCTCGTGATAAGTTTGAAAAGCGAACCCCGACAGGTGCACGCTACAAGCTGCATCGTCTGTCAAGGGAGAAAGGATTACCCTGCCTCTCTTGGGGAGACTCGTGCCCATGTTGTGTGAACAA